ACCGAGCAGCGAGCGAGCAGTAAACTTTTGACTACGATTGTAGCCAGTGAACGTCCTTAATATCATACATGTATTATATATCATATGTTAATTTTAAAACTATGATTGTTAATAACTTTTTAATGAAGGACGAGGGATGGCTAAAACCTGTTGGAGGTTACTCAGGGTCGTATCCTTGAGAACATATGTCAAGGTCAAGGTCATTGTGGAGAGTCCCCTGATCTAAAGATTTACCGGTTTCACTACTGTTAAAAATAACTTTAACGCTTAATATTTCAAAAATTATAAGAGTCCGCCGCCTAGTTGTTAAGGCAAAGTTACTCAGAATCATGACCTTGACAGCATATATCAAGGTCAAGGTCATCGGTGAGGTGTCCCCTAATCTAAATAATTACCATTTATTCTTTATAATTTATGTTATTCTATTTATCACGGTTAAATACGGAAGTGTCTCGGTGCTAAAATGGCGTGAGACATAATAATAACCTCAAATCATATCATCATATGGTTCTTATAGGTTGCGTAGGCATAAATAGGGCTTCTCTGTGCATGTCGGGTGAAATTCGCCGCAGTCTCGAGTGCGGCGAAAAGTTGTAGTCTGGGTGTTTTTCTAAACCCATTCTGAACGATCTGGGTGAAACGTCTGGACGAAACATCCGATCAAATCGAACGCTTTTAGGAAAAAGTTGTCGTCCGGGCGTTCATTGGTTCATTCTAAATGCATCCATGGGAGCGAGAGAGAAAGAGAGAGAGAGAAAACGCGGCCCCACTAGTAACACTGCTATAGATTCGTCCTGTTCGTTCAGAATGAAAACGTCCAAGTGTGTGACGTCACATTACCTGTAGACACCCTTGTCCGGACGAAAAATTTTCATTCTGAACGCACCCCAGTTGAGTCTGCTGAACGTGACCTATAACAAGGCTCTTCATCTAAAATTTTTATGTTATCCCATTGAAAATCATGATTATAATTAAGTCTATGCTCAGTTATAACAGAACGGACAGATGCATTAGGGTTGATTTATACTGGCCGTAATTTGTTAACTTATACCGCAATCTGTAAAAATTGACCAATCACAGTCGAATGAGAGGGGAATAATCGATTATAATTGGTCAATTTTTACAGATTACGGCATAAATTAACAGATTACGGCTAGTATAATCCAACCCTTATAGGCCTTCTACAATAAGTCATTACCTAAGTTTTAAGTATTAAGTCATAAGAAATTGATCAATCACAATCGAATGTGAGAAGAATATCGACTGTGAGTGGTCAATTTCTTATGACTTAATACTTAAAACTTAGGTAATGGCTTATTGTAGAAGGCCTTTTATGTCTAATGTGATTACGATGTTCTATGATTCTAGTTTTCAATTGTTTGCTCGTCTGTCCATGTTTAATAAAGGTTCCTGAATACTCAGTCAAGAACTCCGTGTAGATGGGTAGCGACACCGAATTAGTCGGTGGCTAGCAAAACTGGTAGTACGTTACTGGTTATACACACAATTGCAAGCTCATGTCCGTGTGCTCATTTTCGGGTAGAAGGGGAGTGCACAGCATGGGCACAGGCATGGGTTCATGCTTGTGTGTGTGTATAGCGCCTTGCCATGGTAAAAGTCTGAACTAATAGGCGTGAAAAAGTGATGTTTTGACGACAAAATTTTTCTTGCGTGCCATTTCGTCAATATTTGCTTATTTGTGAAAATGTGACTTCCCTCGTACTCGTGAAAGTCCTAAAAATTGCCGGAAACTGCAGTTATCGTGAAATTTTATACGTAAAAGCGTATATTTCACTCGTTTCATCAGCTGTTAAACTGATTCTGCCCGAAAATAGGCTCACTTTACGTGCCTTTTACGACCATTTACTGACTATCAGAGGAGGAAAGGACAGTTTCCGCCAATTTTCACAAGTGTTTTTGAGCGATCTCGCCTTTTAAATTTATTCAAATTGTCTTTATTAAAAAATAGGACGCAAGAAAAATTAATGTGTTTTTCTCGCCTATGACGTCACAATTCCAACATGGCTGTCGCCGGTATTCAGGAGCCTTAAATGCTTAATATTAAAAAACAGAAAAATAGTCTCGATTTGCAAACAGAACTGAAGGCCTTCATAAGGCTTATGTACCCATTGTAAATAAAGTTTGACTTTCTAATATCGATAATTGTTGGTCTTGCTCAGTCTACGTCTGATTCTCCAACGTTATTAATCGTCTTACGCAATGTCCACAATGTGCAAACGTTTGTTAATTATTTGTTTCTTATTGTATTTTATTTGACTGACGGATATTACTGTAATTATGCTGACACACAGAATTACCATTATTACTGATTTAATTTGTTTGCTTTTCCTGGTGAGTTTTCTTTTAGAAATTTTGACATAATTTGTTTAACATTTATAAAGAAAGTTTTTACCATCATTTCAGAGATAATAGTTGCTTTCCATTTATTCCGATTCTCAGATAATTCTCACTTGTAACGTCATAACTCAGTTGAATGCGCGTTCCTTTTGTATTCTGAGAAGTGAGATTCAACTGAGATTTTATTTGCAAACTGCACAAGATCGAGACCGTGAGCTTTATTGAGTCTCGTAGACTCACTTTAAAAATGAGATCATAAACCTGTGTTGTTATTTGTTAATTTTACCAAAATAAGCAAGTAATGACGTCATTAATCTGAGTATTTCATACTCAGTTCACTTCAGACTCAGTTTCACTTGTGTGTAAATGGAAAGCAACTATTGTTATACATACGACTTTTCAATCGTTTGTAATTAATTCTCTATGAAGACTCACAGGATCAATGGAAACTACACGAGTAATCTTTTTTATCGATTAATTTTGTCCATCGCTTTTTAATATGTCTGAGGAGGGCTCAATCCGAGAGCCGAAACTTATAACTTATTTATATTTATTTATTTATATTATTGTATTTATTTGTTTGAAAGCGAATTAGCGTTATGTTAATGTCTATGAAATTAATTATTCGAAAGTAGTTATTAATTATATGTTTTATTATTGAACAAAAATCTTTATCGACTTATATCGCCCTTGACTTCGTATTGTTTATTTTTATATAACGAATCCTTATTTTTTTTTCTATTAGTTTATTATTTTCTTATATTTTTTAAAAATGTACATTGAGATAAGGCTCAATATGTTTTTTTAAAAACAAATAATATAGAGAAAGAGGGCAATGAGCCAATAATATCGTTAAAATCTTTAAATTATAATCTAATATATTGCGAAGAATATCACGTAATTATGGCGTTTCGTCCCAGCTTCCACTACTGGACTCATCAGTAAGGTATTGTAGTGGAAGCCTACCTTAGACGCCTGTTTAAGTTATTAGATCAAGAATCTATATATACAGATATACGCGTATCCAAGCACTTGCGAGAATTTTTGCGAATATCTATAGACCTCTGATGGCGAGTGGACGTAGTAATATTCTTCGCAATATATTTATTCAAAGTAATATATGTATTACCCTCCCACCCCCCCCAACTTATATTTTTTATATTTTGAAATTTTATAATTCTATCATTTTGAACATTTGTTAAAAACTTGCGATCTTTGTAACATTGATAATGACCTAATAGAGGTCGAAACGTCTGTTATTTATTTCTTGTTTTTCTAATTAAACGACGTAATTTTAACCAAATGACAATTTTTATTTACAAACAATTGTATATTTTAACGAATTTTTTGGCTCGTAGCTCTTTTTCTTTTTCATTATTTTTAAACAATATTAAATTTTAAAGACCGTGTCAATGTAACAACATAACTAATATGAATACGAAGTCTATAACAGTCTAGCTGGATCTTAGTTGCTTATATATAATTTCTTATATATATACATATATATATAAGAAAATACGAATAGACTTAAACATAACACACAATAGATAAAAATAAAATATAAGACCAGGGAATGGAAGTAACTCGTTACTTGTAACGAAGTTACAGTTACAAGTTACTTTTTTGGTAACTTTACTGGTAACTGCGTTACTTTCTTTTTTTGGTAACTGTAACGGTAACGAGTTACATTTTTTGGGTAACGGTAACGAAATTTACAGTTACTTTTGTCGTTACTTTGCACACGATTGAACACGGTTCGATTGGATACATGCTATTTAGCGCTTATCAATATGACTTGAAAGCCCTTAGACATTCGGCCGTTATGATTCAGTAATTATTTTACACTTCTATCTTCTATGTAATACATAGGACATACAAATATTTCAGTTTGCTGCATATTTTACAGGTTTTAGAATTACAAAATTGTGTTTAAAAAAAATTAAAAAATAAATTAAATAATAGTAAAATGAGAAGGGCTATGAACCCAAAAGCGAAACAGTTTAAAAGACGATGACAATAAGTGTCGAAACGTCGTTTGTTTTTATCTTGTTTTATCTATGTATTGTTCTAATATATATTTATACATTTAATTACATTGTCATCGTCGTTCTTATCGGAAATAAACTGTTTCATTTTTGGCTCGTAACCCTTCTCATTTTACTTTTATTTAATTTATTATTTGAGCCATTCTACATTGTTTTTTTTTTTTTTTAAAAAAAACTATATATTTGTCGCAGTATTACATATAAAAAAAAAAAATGCAAAAGTACATTTTTAAATTGATTTTAAAAAAGTAACGGAAAAGTAACGAAAAGTTATTTTTCAAGTAACGGTAACTGTAACGAGTTACTTTTAAAAAGCGATAACTGTAACTGTAACTAGTTACATTTTTTACTCGGTAACGAGTAACTGTAACTAGTTATTTTTAAAAAGTAACTTTCCATTCCCTGTATAAGACATATGTATATGTCATATCTTATATGCATTTATAATATGTTATATTTAATTTCTCTATTCCTTATATTCAATATTTATTCTTTTTCTTAATATTTCTCTTATTGTGCGAAGGGTTTAATTCTAATTAAAAAATTTTTATTTTATTTATTTGAAAACATTTACAGAATGTTTCACTTTTCTTAAAATCTCTTATTAATTTATTTCTTCTTCCATTAACGCAATCCAAGTATATTACGGGCCTAAAACACACACACACAATATAATTATATACACAATATATCTCAAAAATGGCTCATAATTTTAATTATAATCAACTAGAATTAATCTACCGTTATAAAAACAGCAAAAGCTGTCTCTCTAATACGATTTAAAACTTCATCTGGCTTGATTGAGCTAGAAAGCATGGTTTGTATTTGCAAAATATCCTGTAGTCGTCTCTCTAGGAACAACCATGTTTCTTTGTGGTCTTCACTTGTATCTTGCAACATGTACAATTCAGTGGCTTTATAAATACTCGCTAGAATCATTCTCCTGGTATACCAGTTAATCTAATCAAAGTAATGTACTCTCTTTTTAAACAATATATCCGAACAATATCTTTCTTATACTAACAGATAAATATTAGTGATACGACTTACATCAACCGATCTATCTCCGGTGTAATAGCAAATATCATCGACTAAAGTTAATAAATTTGCTAAAGCAGTTGGTACGTTCGGTGAAAGAGACATAATAGCCATTGCTTGTGGCCAAGTTTTTTTATAGGGAATCACCATTCTCAATCGTGTTTCTATGGCGTCACGAACTTGCTGTTCTGGCGCCTTCTGCGGACTTGAGAAATCCGCTTTGATGGTTAATGCTTCTCTTTCTAGTATTTCATTTAATTCCCGATTACACATAGAGTAAAAATATCCCACTAAAGCTGCGCTACCGTTTGGAAACAGTCCATGTATCACACCCGGATATCCAATTGATTCAGCACCTTTGACATCATACTTGATTACACTATTTTATTTAATATTAAATTTTAAAGAACCGTCAATATAACAACATAACTAATACGAATTCGAAGCCTATAACAGTCAAGCTGGATCTTAGATGCTTGTTCGGCGCGTTGTTCAGAAAGACTACATATATTATTTTATTTAAAATCTTTCTAGGACCGTACAAGTAATAAACACAAACAAGAAGAAGGAAGCAAATAACGGTCAAAACTGGATCACATTGCTTATTATAATTATGTGTGAATTTTATATACTGCGTATGTAGTTAATTATTTTATTTAATTTATATGTAAATATAACGCGTCTTGGCAAATCACGATAATAGAAAAATTAATTATAAAACAGAAAGAATAGAATATAAAAAATAATGATTTAAATTACCAGCACTAATAGTCTGTTTGCTCCATCCCATGTCAGGAACAAATTTTAAAGAAGCACCAAGTATTTTTATTTTAATATATTTTTCATATTCCTCATCATTCTCTTCATGAGATTGTTGTGGTTCCGCTTTTCTATTATCACTTTCAAATTGATCAGTCAACAAAGCCCTAGAAGTCCATAAACATCTAAAACCTAATAAAATCAATACTTTTAAAATTATCTAATAAGATATACCTACACTAAATATATATTATATAAGAATAAAATATAAGAATTGTTAGTATAAATATTAATATAAATTAATTCCATTTTAATTTAATTTTTATCAAAAATTTGATATTAATACACAATACACATTACTTAGAAAAATTTTTATTAAATTTAAATAATTACAATTTTACGATTTTTTAAATAATTACAATTTTATGATAGTATAACATTTTCATAATTGATTTTATTTCTACTCAGGTAGTACATTCATCAGATTTTTCCACAAATTTTTTAGTCATATCTATACATTCATTAACTCGTATAAGAATACTTTCCATTACATCTAAACCATTTATCACTTGATAACAGACAGAAATCTTTTCGTGAAGCGGCATAACTGGTAATTGTTCGCCACCAACAGTTAATGTAACTTCCATATAAGCCTTCATTAGCTTGCTATAATCTTGCTCTTTAGCTAAATCCTTTTTCTGTTGCTCCAAATCTTTTTTCTTCACTCTCCAATGTGCTCTGCACAAGGCTATACCTTCTCTTAACGGATTCAGATAATTATTTTTCAGCATATCTGTCATATTCCAAATACCTGTCTCATTGTTCTTATCTCTGATGAACAAAAATCTCAGCAAGTTCAGCACAGTAATGATTTCATCTGATATTTCCACTATGTCAGACGAACTTCCATGAGGTAGATTGCAAATCTTTTTCAATAACAATTCCATATTTTTTCTAAGAAATTGAGGATTTTGTGGAGTTGAATTAAGACATTCAATGATAGAAGATTTAAATATGCCAATGATAAAACTTAACAGGCCAGAATGTTCGACAACCTCATATAAATACGATATAATGATATATCTAGCTTCCATATTAAATATCTCAATATAGTCTTGGAAAACGCATACTGCCTTCTTTCGTTGCTCATCATTATTAGAGTAAATCATCACTTTGATGATTGGTTGAAACAATTCTATGTATATTTCCAGACTCAACACCTCAGAATCTAACGAACGAAGTGAAATGCGTTTTATAACATTTTCCATGAAAATTAATCCAGTGGAGATTGAATAATCTTCGCTAAGTAGTATTTTGAAAAAGTATGCACATGTTTCAAGAATATAATATGAATTATATATTTGTGGTGCATTTACCCAATAGTTTTCTTGAGTAATTACATAAAAGTAAAAATTAGCATAAGCCATATTAGATATGTTTTGGCTCCAATCTAAAATTGTAGAACATAAAGAAGATTTAATATTTGTTTTTAGATATTTGTGTAACGTTTTAACATGAATAGATTCTTTTTGACGTTTTCTAACAGTATCTAAAAAATATAATATATCCCCAGTGAGATAAAGTGCTTGTGTTACTATGTTATCCACGATTTCTTTATATGTTATTTCTTCACTGATGTATTTGCTCAAACGGCAAAAGGGTTTTCCACAAAGAAAAATAAAAAAACTCAAAAGATGATTTCCAAGTAAAGATCCTTTTTCCTGCTTAGAACTGATATCTACTGCCTCTTGCACCAATGGTTTTAGAAATACTATGATGGCCTTATATGTATTTATAATTCTGTCAATAGCTGCTTCTGGATCATCAACTTCATCTGGCAGTGGTAAATCCTCAAGGTATATCTTGATTGCATCAAAGTACCAATCAATGGTTTTATTCTTGTTTCTTACCTGTATCAAGCAAGTCTGTATTGCACCCAAAATGGTACAAAAATTCATATGGTCACTCGCCTGCTTTAAATATCTTGGGAACTCTATTATAGCTATCGCAGGCTCACAATTCTCAATTAAGCACGTCAATACATTTAAACAGCAATCGAACATAGCTTTGTGATGTTGTAACACAGGACTCGTGAGATTTGGAACAATGACAGACATGATATCACATAAACTATTTTCAGTCATAAGGTTATCTTTTTTCAAAAGCTGTATAGCTTCTGTAGTTTTACATTCATTCAGAAGATCTGTGACTCGGCTAATGAACTCTTCTGTCATCTTGATAAAGCTGCCAATGACAGAAACATGTAAAAATATTACATGCAGATAAAATTATTCTTTGAAAAAAGTATTTCTATTATCTTCTATATGTATGTATATTTATACCTTCTTATGTTGATCTCAAGTAATTCCTCTTTTATTATTGTTAATCACTTGTTTGCAAGATTTTTCATCGAAGAAATACGCAAACACATGTATTCCTTATTTTCGGTCTTGAGAAAAGGAAACTGAAAAGAACATCGAGCACAAATCTCTCTTGAAAACGCGTCTTTGCAAGGTTATATCTTCGCGAAAAACCCTAGGTTAGGTTACACGAAATGTGACGCATCCTCCTACTCTCAATTCGAAAACAGATTGCACAAAACAGAGTCTAACGAAAATTAGATTTGATCGAGAGCGAGTAGTCGACCGAAAATTCACAAAGATAAAAATTCTTTAAAAAAAGGTTTCGTAGATAGTAATGAAAGACAAAGAGCCACATTCACCAATTCCGATTAACTTTAATCTCGGTTTAACTTACTGTTAATATTTTTCTAATTTTTAGAATTAGAAAAAGACGAAGAGCAAATTGAACCGAGATTAAAGTTAATCTGCATTGATGGAAATAGGCAAAAGCGGAACAATAAGCGTGGGACGAAAGTTATTATTCGGCTCCAGAGCATCGCTAATGATTCGCTTACCGATAGCTGCAAATTTGCTCCGTGTCAAGCGAAACGAATTAAACATCGCCATATCACCGAGTATCTCAAACTCCTATTGCTAAGAACATTCCGGCAAACTATGCATCTTCTTGAGAATCTTGAGATATGATTAGAATTTCGTGAGACTCAGGGTGAATTTTTTAAATCATCCATTGATGTTGCATCTGCCCATCATGCGATTGATCAATCGATGAATTAAAAATATCGCCCTTGTTTTTACCTCAGTGGGCCTATTCTGTAACTTGTAACGACAATTCGGTATCGTTATACTGTCGATACGCAGGTTTTATATAGAGATCCTCAAGTAAGAGATACGCCAACTTCAAGATGTGTGTCATATGTATGTGTCATACTTGTATGCTGTGATGTCAACGAAGTAAGAGAGAAGGAGATGGAAGGAGATCGAACCACAGTATATACAGTAACGCAACCTACTATATGTTCTAAGAGCGCAACTCTCTGTCGGCACCTTTGATGTTACCGTAGCTAAAAATGAACTGCACATGCGCGATCGAGGCGCGTAACCAATCAGGGCACTGTATTCTATCTCACTTCTGGGGGCCTATCACGAATTTTCGGTTCACATTTCACATTTTCACACTTTGATCTCACGTGAGAATTCTCACCGAATCACGTAGCTCACGGGTGAAAATGCGAAATAACTATACTAGTTATGTCGAATTTTACAGTTTTACACATCGCTACGAATGGGTAAGTGATATGTGTGTACCGCATTCATTGAATTCGGTCTTATATGTTTATATTAATGTAAATTTTGATATTTTATAATAATAAAATTAAATAGATGTACATATTACAAATACAATTCCCAAATTGCATACAATAGTCTATTTTAAAAATATGAGAGACTATTTTAAAAATATCAAGATATCCTGAAAATTTATTCAGCCTTAAAATAAATATAACCTCTATAAAACTATACTGTTTCATTAGCTTTTACAAAGTAATATACATTTATTCATAAATAAATATATTTTAGAACTTGACTGAATGTTATTATTTATTACAGAAATATATTTGTTCAAGATGAATGTCACCACTGCTCAAAAAGAAATGCTTTTAAAGTATATGTCCGATAATGTTGAATTGCGTACTCTTTCTTCTTCTTCTTCGACAATAGCACACATCGTTATATTTGCCATGTTGACTGCTTTATAAAATCACGTCAATGGTAATCTTGCTTCCTATTGGCTTTCGCAACTCAATCTCACTCTTTCGCCATCGAAAGACTTGTCGAAAAGTGAGGCGTTCGAATTCTGACATTTTCACCATATTCGGTTTTCGTGATAGGCCCCGCTCTCTGTTTATAACCTTTTCTCTCTTTCTAATTTATGTTCTAACAATGTCCTAAATTTGCACATTTGAACATTTAATACGCGTACTCACAAGTAACTTTTATAAAATTATCTTAATTTATTCCATTATTCACAGCGAATACTAAAAATCAATAGTTCTCGTTTACACTATATAGATTTTTAATACTCACAGTGAAAAACGAGACGCATTTGAAAGAGAAAATGAAATAAAAATTAAACATATATGATGCACATTTACTTCTTAACACTATATTTTGCAATTAAATATACCCACAAAATATATTATTATTAATTAATTGTACAGCAATATTGTATGTATAGCATATATATACGCAATTAGAACAGGAAGTCACAATAAAGTCAAAATGACATTAAAATGATTGAAAAATGACTTTTAATGATCATTTTGTAATAATTTTGACATTATTTTGATACAATGATGACTTATTTTGTTCGGATATATAATTAATGTGGTATTTCATTATTTTTGAAATATCATATGGCTCGAATAAAATTACTTATATTTATTATTTTTTTTTTATATTGAATATAGTAACCACAGATATTAGGAAATGCAAGAATACTCTTTCTCTCTCTCACACTCTCTCTCTCTCTCTCTCTCTCTCTCTCTCTCTCTCTCTCTCTCTCTCTCTCTCATAATTTTGTAATTAAACTTTTTTTATTTACAATGACAATTATATTATATTATATACTATATAGCCCAGTCAAAATCCATTTTAGAAAGGAAGTAATTCCATATGGGCTGCCCGTTGCTGGAGGGGTGTCTTTTTGGATCATAATGAAGGTACAAAAAGCCCACCCCCGTATCGTGTACGCTACGAAAATTACAGTGCAAAAAAGGTGCAAAAAATAGGTTTTTCGTCAATAAGTCAAAAAGTATCACTTTTAGGGGAAAAAGTGAAGACGCGAAAGTTGTAGAGAATTTAATTTTACGCAAAAAAAGGTCCTTACAAAAATGTTGTACGAGCACTTGTAGTCGAAGTAGATTTTTTGTAAGCAAGGGCCATTTTTTGAGAAATGAGAAAGTCTCGAGCACGTTACGCATTTGTTGTCGATAAAGCAAAAATGGCACGTCGGATCGGAAAATGGTTCAAATGAAAGTTATAGGCAATTTAATTACGAACAACTTTTTTCTTATAGTTTTTTTTGTACAATCAATATTGGCAGAGATATGAATTTTTTTAACATTTATTATTGTTTGTCGAATATACTTTGTTCATGATAAAATCACTAATAACTCAAAATCTGTAGCTCTAACAGAAATTTTACATCTTATAACAGTGAAAGATAATTAAATTTCGAAAATTTTGG